ACCAATTGAACAAGGCTGACACCATTTGATCTCTTCCTTGCAGAAAACCTACCCTACTATCTTAATATGGTGAGCGATGAATTAATTAATAGCTAGGTTTCTTTCAGTGTCCGTCTGGGCAAATTCTAACCCATCCTTGGTATCTAATTTAACTTCCTGTATGCAGGGCCATGCATTTATTTGCATTGAACGTCATTTGCCAGTTATCACACATTTGCCTACCCTGTCAAGCTTTTTTTGTAGGAGCTTTGCTGCCTCCTCTGATCCACAGTTCTTCCTAAATTGGCGTAATCTGCAAATTTAGACCCCCGAGGCACCTTATTTAATATTGGCACCATCTTGACTGAGCTCCCCAAACAATGCTTCCTAATTTGAGCTAATTTGAATCCACCTTATCCTTGATACCCAGTAACATCGGTTGTGAAGGAGTCTCTCATGTGGTACTTGGTCAATTGTCTTTTGCAAGTCTAAATACACTACGTCATATAGCTGTCAAAGTTCATTTGAGATGTCACTTCGCAAAGTGGGCAAGGTGAACAACGAATAAACATTATACCAGATAATCAGCATCAATTAAGCAGATAGGACAAGGAATGCATTCAATATAGATCAGTGAATAGTAATGTATCTTGGAAGAGGAAATAATACTACTAATAATAATCCTTGCATGTTATATAACTCTTTTCACATCTTCTAGACATCTCAAAATATTTTACAGAATATACTGTAAAATGAATTGACTGTATATTTGTGGGCGAAACATGGCAGCCAATTGAGCACAGCAGTGTCCCACCAACAGTCGTGACCAAATTATTATTATTTTTTCTAAGGAATATTATCCCTGGAAAAGCTATCCCCAATCGACTAACAACCGGGTTCCTACTTACTGCTAGGTAAACAGAGGCGTGTGGATTAAGGAGATTTGCCCAACAGTTTGCCCTGCTGGAAATAGAACCCAGGTCTCTCGCTTGCGAGGCGAGTGTTCTAATCACTGAGCTACAGGACTCCACAAATGGACTCCATGGTAAACATATGACATTTGCACACAATTAAAGGTTTCCAGGCCATATGAAGTTGCTTCAATAAAACTAAACGATTACAAGTTGGCATATTTTACTACAGGTTGCACTACCAGTAATGCAAGTATTACTGGTTAGGATACATTTGGAATATTAGAGTGTGTAGTTTTAGGCCAAGGTGGTCCAACTGGTGGCCCGGGGCGGATTCATCTGGCCCTTTTCTCCCTCCCTCCATTTCATCTAGCCCACCTGCTCTTTCACAACCCATATATGTTATATTTCTGGAAGGGAAACACAAAAATATTGCTTATTCCGCCCATGGGAGTTTTTCAAATAGGGCATCCAGCCCTCAGCCACCAAAACGTTTGAACCCTTTATTTTACACAATTGAACTTAAAGGATATTGAAGCATTGGGAAAGAAGCAGAGAGGAGCAACAAGGATAATTGTAAGTTTTAGATGTTGAGGTTATCAGATGAAGCTCACAGTGATAAACTTGTTCTCAAAGGGGACAAGAAGACTCGGGGAACTTGAACCGGTGATGACAAATCTAGATGATGTATAGTTAGCGGGCACAGATTTCAAATGAAAAAGCCTCAAACTGGATTAGAAATAAGAATGTTCTCCATGCACAGCAGAGGATAAGTGCAATTGATTCCCAGCAAAAATACTTGATGGTGCCTGGATGAACTCCTTCAAAACGTAAGTGGATAAATATCGCTTTGAGAACAATTTGGGAGGAGATAGGTATAGACAGAGATGACATTTTACACTGAAAACAATAATATCAATGTTGCCAGGCTGAAGGGGAGGAATATATTGCTTGTTGAGGGAGGCCAGATTTGTGGAATTCTGGGGAATAGATGCATATTTCTGGGCTGCATCGTGTGGCTGTGTGAAGAAAGATTGGGATTGCAGGATCAAATAGCATTTTCTCATTACATGTTTTCCATGTTCTCTTATGTATTTAAGAGCTTAAGTTTTACATTTGCATAGCCCAGAAAGCCATCATAAAAATAACTGGCCACTGCCCACCAACCTTCCCCCCGCCCCATTTCAAGTACAACCATCCATTTCAGTGCTACTGTACAACATTTGCACCAATGGAAGGAATTTGCTGCTTGGAAAATAAAAATAAAATTCACCTGTAAAACAGTGTACCACTTTAACTATTGGAATAAGTTATTTTGTGATGCAAATGAATGTGCTTTTTCTCAGCACAGCCTGTAAAGAATGTAAATAACATTGTCAGCAAAAACGCAGTAGGAAACTCATTTTTCATTCAGGCACTCAATGTAGTTATTACATGGTTTACAAAATTAAGTGAGAGATTTATTTCTGAATATAAGCTAACAAAGAGCTTGGTGCGTTGTAGCTAAATAAGGGAACAACGTTTCTAAGCTTTCAATTGAAAACCACAGAAAGTAAATCAACAGCGAACATTGAATAGCTGGGAAAATATTGAAATCAATGGAAAAAAAGGCTTTACTATCCAGGACCACAGAGGCCTGAAATTCCAAATGATCTTAGTCTTGAGATTTCTTACCTGCCATGGGGAGAGTGGCCTTGACCACGGAAGACACCATCACATTTACAGTTTGTTCAGAGTCGCATTGGAGAACTTCACTCTCTGATGACACTCTCTATGGTAAGGTCTAGATAAATTAGATGTGGTCTGTGGCTTTGGTTTCCCAAAGAGTCAACCACCTTAGAGCCTTTACCTCTCCTTCTTGTCCCCGCCCAATCCACCCGCCATCAGTGTCTTGAGCTTTAAGTCATTCTACCCCTCCTCTATGGAGCTCCATCCCAGAGTCCTTCTGACTTTCCCTTTCCTTTCTACTTTTATAGCCCACCTTAGGAATTACTTCTTGGATGCACATTTGGTAATTTTCTTCCTCCTCCACCCTCATTAGTCTCTCCCAGTTCGATCAGCCAGCAGTGCAAAGTTCTTTGAAATATCCTACTGATGTGAAAGACTTTATACAAATTTAACTTGTATTGTATGCCACTGCTTGTATTGTAGAGCCTCCGCTCAACTGGTCCGGTCTCCTTCGCATACCCCGAATTCTCCGCTCCACCATTGGTGGCTGTGTCTTCAGCCACTATGCCCCGAAATTTTGTAACTTCCTCCCTCAACCCCTTCGCCTTGACTCCTCCTTCCCCTTTTTCAGGTCGCACCTGAAGACCTTCCTCTTCGACCACGCCTACGGTCACTTTCACCCTCCCCCTGGCTTGGCCTTGGGTTCCACCATTGTGAAGTGTATGAACAATTTTATTTGGCTATTTGTCAGCCAAGACACTGGCAGAAACTCTCTTTTCTTTTTGACTAGGACCACGAGGTCTTTAACTTCTCATCCGAAGAACGGCACCTCCAACAATGCAGCACATCACTAGCAATGTATTGGAGTATCGGCCTAGATTATATAAGTATCTGAATCATGTTTACATAAACCCACACATCTGTAAAGCATTGTGACAGGGAATGTTGGCAGTTTGCTACCACAGTAAGAATTACCTGAATTGCCATTTTCAGCAGTGTGCATGGTAATTACGAGCCAACTTCTCCAGGCCAGTATTCGCAACCTCCAAATTTAACGTCCATATTCTTTAAAACCCGACTTTCTGCCTGTTGGTAAACCATGCAGTAATTTTCCAGGCAAGTAGAAACTTCTTCTCCTCTCACTTTTATTCCTAGGGAAATTTCCCCACTTGAGTGTTATTTATTTAGACATGCCAAAAAAGAAAATCGACAGACAGCTTCCATTTTTTGGCAGAATCCCGGCTGTAGCGAGCAGCCTGATTCCAGAGCTCCCAGCCAATTTGACATCTGTAATTCAGGAGCTGAATAACATAGATCGGGGTTAAGAGCAACTTGTGGGAATCTCTTGGTCTCCAACAACAACATGCATTGCCAAGGAGCTCAAGAATGTACATTGCTCTTCTTATTTGAGCATTTAAAATGGTTTAGGTAGATCTAGTTACTTATAATCAAAGTCATCAAATGTGATAAGAAGAATCATGGCCATTTGCACTTTTTTTTCTGAATGCTAATATTACAGCACTTTACCCAGCATCCTTTAATCTGTGGAACTGGTGAGGTTGGTTTGTGATGTGGTCGGTCTGTACTGAGTTAACTGATACCAGCCAGAGCATCAGTAGGAACTCTATATGCGTTTGGGACTTTGTGAGTTAGGAAGGGAAAGCAAATCAGCCAGGGTTTCTGCTCCCAAACACTATAAAGTGACTTCTGTTGGAACATGCACATGTGCAGACAACAGGTCAGGACAGGATCAGACATGACTATGATGCCCTTCAATGTCTGGTATGCTACCCTGCATGAGGGGTGTTATATAACTGCAAGTTATTGTAGTTGTTATTGTTGAATAGTGGACCAATACGCAGTGGGGTGAAAGCAGTGATTTCAAATGGGATTGCTTAATGAAGAACATCACACTGACCCAAGGGGATGCCTCCAATGCAACTTGTTTTTAGATTCCCCCGTTCATCAGAGAAATGTAGTTTCAGTTCCCAAAAGGATTCCCCACTTTGATTCCTCAATTGAGGAATCCTGTTTGAATTAGCTACATGTTAGACCCCATTCTTTTTTACACATGAAGAATTACCACTTGTGGATCTGCCAGAAGATAACTCATATAACCATTCCCCCAGCAAAGAGCAAGTGCCTTCCAGTGGCAACAAAGTGTGCAAGAAGCAAATGATGTTGGAACTTATTGGAGTTTCCAATTTCTTTGTTTATTCTATTCACAGGATTGCCAGAATGGGTGGGCTAGAGGAAGGCGAAAGACGAGTTAGGGAGGGGGTAATGGGGAGAGGGGTCAATGTAGAGGGTAAGAGAAGAAACGAATGCGAGAGAAGGAGTGGATGGAGGGGAAAAGGAGAATAAACTAGGTTTTAAAAATCAATTGGTGTAAGTTTGTAAAAAGATAAGATTCATGATATTTATCTGTTTCTGTTTTCACAGCCTAACCTGAATGGGAACACACTACCAGTGGTAACCACATTCAAAACGGTAATATATTCTTCTGAAGTCCCTTTGTTTCACACTCAGGTCCACACAGCGGGTATTGTCAGTTGTTCCTGGCAGACTCCAAGTCTGCATGCCCTGTCTGCAATTTAAGCCATTTTCCATATAAAAGATTGACACAATCTATCATAAATTTGGAAGAATTTTGGTCAGTGCATAGTAAAACAATAACAACTGTTATTCCTTGGCTATGTTCCCTTCTCTTTTTCACGTTAAGGACAAATCTGCTGTGCATTCCTACCTCTTTTCCCCGGCTAGATCAAGTATTCCAGGGGTGAAAAGTCCAAATGAGGTTTTCAAGCATACTGTACGAATTTGGCGTTGAACAGATTGGCATAAATCTTCTGGAGCTTATAGTTAAAATATGTTTCAGCTGTTTATAGATTACAGGAGATACGTTATATGTATTCTCAAAGTATCCCAAAAGAACACAAGACGTAAGCCTGAAATTATAGTTACAGCAAAGATAAAACAAAAATTGAATCCATTAAGAGATATGTATCATCTTGATACGTTTTATTAGGTGAGTGACTAATCAGTATTAAAAAAAACTGAATGTTTTTGCCAAAAAGGCCGCTTGTGAAACTATAGCAGATAATTAGAAGACACATTCCTGAACAAGCTTTAAAGCACTTAAAGGGAAAACAAAAAACACTCTCCAAATATAGTTTTAAGATATTCATTTATGTTCCTAATATCTTCTGCCCTTACAGATTGTGCTACTTTGGAGATCTAGAGCAAGTTCAGCTGCTTGGATTTTCAAAATAATAGGCACAGTCTTTTTTCCCCCCTCTCAAAATCCAACCTGAAGCTTGAATTTACACATTTGTCTTTGCGAAACTACAAGCCTGTAACAATTAGAATGTGTTATGGGGACGGGGGGATGGGGGGGAGGTGGTCAGGTTTTACGAAGATCGTAAAACCATATGTTCATCTTTTGAGAAATGTAAGAGAATTTTGGCCACAAAACTAATATAAAAACATTCTGGATGAGGATTGATCCAAAAAGACAATTCAATCGTTCCAAATATAATCATTATAAATTTGGAGACATTACTGGATAAAGAAGATTTTCACTTTGTGCAGAAGATAAATTCTTATACAGTGCATGCTGTGGCTCAACTATTCATAATTCATGTGAGCCAGGTACTTTCCCCTCGGTTTCGGTAAGTTTTGCATTTCTAAATAATTCAAATCTTCAAAGTGTAAATAACACTACAAATGATACTCGACTTTCAAATTCATTAGACTAATTTATATGCCATACCATGGGAAATAAGCACTGAAATGTTTCTGAATTACAATGCTTATGATTCATGGAATATCAGTTGTATTGATTGTATAATTTTAATAATAATCCTTGCATTTGATATAGCGCCTTATCACAAGATGGCTTAAAGCACTTCACAGGATATACTGTAATGTGACTGTATATTTTGGGGGTGAAACGCGGCAGCCAGTTGCACACAGCAGTGTCCCACAAACAGCCATTGAGTGAGTGATCAATTTTATTTGGGGGATTTGTTGGCCAGGACACCGGGAAAAACTCCTTCTTTTTCAATAGAACCATGATAGAATCCTTAACGCCTTGGGACGTCCTCCTGATGTGAAAGGCGCTATACAAATAGGTAGATGGGACCTCGGTTTAACATCTCAACCAAAGAACGACACCTATTACCATGCAACACTCTCCCAGCACTACAATGGGGTGTCAGCTTAGAGTATGTGATTCCAAGTCCCGATGTGGGGCAACAGTGCTACCACTGAGCGAGGCTGACACACACCATATTTGTGGCTCTTTTAAGTCACCAGAACCTGCCTGTATCATTGTATATCAGGAAGCTTTGTTTGTGATCGACGTAAAATATCACCAAGCTCACTGGCCGTGATGGTTAAATGGAATGGCAATACTTATTGTTAAACACATGAATAATCAATGTTCAGTTTCATGAAGTGAAGGAGGGAGCTTGGTGCTTTGTCAGACTCCGTCACTGTGAAGCTCTCCGAGACTCTATCCCAGGTGAAGGGCCCTATGTAAATGCATGTTGTTGTTATTGTATGTGAGAGTAGACCAGCATGAATCAGTAACTTTCGGGAGAAGGAAAAAACAAAGAGGCGAAAAACAGAATCAAAGTGAAAAGAACAGAGTTGTGGTTTAAAAACAAATCCTGTGCTAAAGCACTTTGTTGCCATGCCAGCCTTCAATAACATTTTGCCTTCAAATTAAAGGGTAAAATCTGGATGGGAGTGAGGAGAAAAGACATTCTTCAAACTGCTTTAATTTTGTTTGTCTCTCCCACCTTGGCACAGAATTCCAGTGGTAATGTCAAAGAGCCACTGAAAGCCATATTATAATTCATTGGACAGCATAAAAAATGTATAACTATCAAGTCTGAGAATCAATGCATTACAGAGTGACATACTATTGACACATGGGGTCAGGGCTGGTGGAAAGCAAGAAGAGTTTTTCAATTTGATGTGGTGGGGACACACAGGAAATGATAAAGACTGAGGGCTGAAGGGTTCATTAACAGTCTAAAAGCTCCAGCGATTTAGAGACGCTGAGACGCAATTTACATTCAGCCAATTTGCTTTATTGGGAACACTAAAAGATTGCATCTCAAAACTCCACAGCTTATTTCCTCTTATTTGATTTTTGTCTCTTAAATTAAAAAAAATGTGGTCACTCAATCCACGACTGTTTGTGGAACCCTGGTCTGCGCAATTGGCTGCCGCATTGCCCCCACAAAATACACAGTCGATTCACTTTACAGTGTATTCTGTGAAGTGCTTTGAGATGTCTCAGTGATGTGATAATGCGCTACATCAAACGCAAGGATTATAATTATTATTTCCTTTCTCGTTTTGCTACTTCTTTTGACTGGCAAACCTTGAGTCCTTTCTTATTTGTTCTCTTTGAGGAACATTGTGAATCACAGGCACTGGTAGGCTTATAGCTGCAGTGAATCCATGCAGCTTCTTAAAAAAAATATAGACAAATGCTGCTAGCAGTTTGACTCTGTCTCCCACTTTATGACGACTGGTCTTCATTTCATAGGAAATATCAAAAATGCACTGATCCCAGCCCATTATATTAAAAAATGAAACAGAGTCTAAACTTTCATCCTTTTTTTTCAAAGTAAAATAAATGTGGGTTATGTAATTTGTAACTATGATTCAACCAGCTGCTGGTTAAGTGAACAGCCTGTTCTCCTCATTATTGCACTTGCACATCGGTCTACGCAATGGAAATTTTGAATGAAAAACTGTACGTGTTTTTTTCTGTAAGGCATTTTCTGTTTAGGTTAAAGTTTCTAGGGATCATTAGCATAAGTGCCCCTTCAGCATGTTGGTTCAGTCAGATTTTGGCTAAAATTGTTCTTAAAGGATTTGTTCTGGCCTCCTATCAAAGGCTTGTATTATTTTATATGTCTCACAAGATGATGTTGATGAAATAATGGTATTAAAATAAATTCAGACTTGGGAGTACGAATGGTTTCAGTCGGACTGGAGCATCTGTGAATGGAAGAGAAGCCAACGATTGGGAGTTAGAAGCCCCAAAATATCACCTAGTCTTCATCTGTAGGACCATTTATTCTTAAAATTTAAGATTGCACGTAATTGTGGAACATTCTTTTATCCACTCTTAATTTGGAATCTAGTTTTGTGAAAAAAACAGCTTCCAAATTAATACTGGTTTTAAAAATTAGCTTAATTTAGTTCAGCCCCATCTTAAATTTAACGGCAAGATGGTCTGCAGACTAAGACTAGGTGAAATTTCAGTCCCAGAATATCTATTAGTAAAGGTGAATGTTGTTTAGGATCTTTTGGGCGAAACAGGTTTCAGCAGTGATCAGAGATCTGCTTTACCAGTGATCACTGATGGTTTTTAATATATTTGCATTTCTCTTGGTGAACATGGGATATTAAGATTGGGCTGTCAACTACAATTCCTATTGTAGCCTTTAATGTTGAAGTACTTTGGGACATCCTTCCAATATGAAAGGCGCTATTTAAATGCAATTTGTTGTTGTTGAAGTTATTTTTTCTTCAAGTTTCTTTTAAGAACTATAGAAAACAAGCTTCAAAGTTGAAAGGTGAATTCAACAATTTGCCAAATTCTGCACACGCTGAAATGCAATATTACTAGAGTAAATTGAGAACTGGATGGAATTTCTACCCATGGGTATTCAAGAGGCTGACATGTGAGGTACATTGATAGAAACCTGGAATGTTTGTTCAGGAGTCTGGATTATCTGTCATCCAAACTTTTTTCCTGGTGTTATAAATTGAGGGGACTGACGTAGGTTGACATCTTCGAGAGAACCATGAATAATACAGATCAAGTACTCATGTCTTCGATTTTTGGGATGAAGGTGGAATTTAGTGGGGAATAATTACTCGGGCTGGCAGTCTAGGTTTAGCTGGTGTGATATGTTCCACTAAAATTAGTTCTGGGTTTGTAGTGCTTTGGGTTTAAGATAGCAGCAGCAGAAGTAGGTCTGGAATGTTGCCAAAAAGCTCCAAATGAGATTTGGTTCAGTAAGTTTTGGACAATTTGACTGTATTGAACAAAACCTTGAAACACAAATATTTGTCCATAAGTATTATCGTGTCTTTGTTATTGTACAAAAAAAATTATACAATGGTATACGTTTATTGTTTTATGTCAGTAAATATTTTATTATTCGTATTGCTTCGGTAATGCATTTAAAAAACAAATTGTAATGGCACGAGCCATGTACAATAATTCTAACAATACTGTTTAATTTGATTGTTATACAGGACCACTTTGAAAGCTCAACTGTATTGCCACCATCCTCGCTGTCTTTAGATACTTTGAATGATGCCGTCTCTGGGTTTGACACATTAGAAGAGCTGATTAAGTACCTGGATCCAGAGCGATGGCAGTTGGATTTGGAGGACTTGTACAAACCAACCTGGCAGATGCTTGGAAAGGCTTTTATGTATGGTAGAAAATCCAAAGGTAAGTGTTCCCTTCCATTTTCTAACTTGCCATTCACTAGCTTACTGCTTTTTGTACATGTAAAGATGCTGCTTGAAAAATAAATTATTCCTAACTTTGATCTAAATAGAAAATTGGTAAGGTGTGTTATTGGACTTTTAAGATTCAGTGCATGTTTTGAATTGCAATAAGCCTATTCTATTAGATTCTGCAGTGACTCATGCTGCTTCAAAAGTCCTTGGAAGCGGAATTGATCGGATTTTAAATGAGGCTCATGATTGCAAATATATCTACTTGGGATTTGCTCAACAGGCTGCTTGGTGTTTGCAAATAAAACACTAACCTTGTAAAAACATAGGCACAATAGATAAAAGGGATTTACCAGGAATATGTGAACAAGTAAACTCATATCTCCAAATAGCTCCTGAGGAATCACTATTTCAAGTTTGACTATCAGAGGCATTATTAAAGGGCATGAGAAGTGAGAAGGAAAATGGGATTAGATTACATGTCTCAAGTGACAAAAAACTCCAGTACACTTGTTGGGCAGAGTAGTTTGTTTGTGGCTGTAACATTCTAGGATTCTAAGTGAAATCCTGAAAAATTAGAAAGTGCTTTCAAGATGACACAGATCCTCAAAATGCATAATGGAAAACTTTCTTCCTTTGCTATCTTTCTTGAAGAAAGATGCCACATCCTCCCGACATGAAAGGCGCTTTACAAATCTAATTTTGTTGTTGTTGAACACTTGCGATACAAATATTAAGGAAGCAGTCTACTTCATTGAAAAGTGGCATTAAAATATTGCATGATTTAATATGCAGGATTTGTAAGAAGAACCACCAAAAGCGAATTCTGCCATGACCCAGGTGTGTTTGAGGCTGGAATAACTCTTTGATGCTAATCTCAGGGTCAATTTAAATGAAATTGAATTGTGGTGAAAGGTTGCTTCTGATATCAGGCAGGAGATCGGCATGCAAGTAAAAAGTAATTTGGGAAAGTCAGCCTAACATATATCCAGGTACCTGTGGATTCACTATTTACAAATCAATTTGTGAATATTGAAAAAAATCCACCTCCCCCTCTTCATCTCCACAAAAAATTAAGAAAGAATGAAAACAGAAAGGACTCGTTCTTCAGACTATACAAAACATTTAATGTTCTGTAGTTGACTTCATTCATTCTCTTTAAGAGAGTCAAAGATTATCTGTGCAGAACTGACCTCCTCCAGGAGATAATCAATAAAGACACCAGCACTACAAATTCACTACACTTTTCAGTGAATCTGGTGAAGCACTTTAATATGTCCCCTTGACATGAAAGAAGCTATATCAAATGCAATGGATATTATTACTACTATTATCATAATTGTTTATTTAACCCGAACTTTGATCACTCCCCAGGCTACAGGCCCTCAATCTTCTGGTCCAGGAGCACGGAATCAACTTGATATTCCTTGGTTCAACTTTCATTGCAATTCTGCACCAATATTTATATCCTCAGAATACTGTTCCAGTTCTTTTCAAAAAAGAGTTAATCAACTTAGAACTGGGTGCTTTTGTACCTGGAAATTTAGAGGAAATGTTTCTGATGAAAAAACAACTTATCTGAACCCATTAGGAAAGTTATGGAGTTAACACAATAAATTTCATATACAGACAATAGAAATGTGCAACATTCTGTTCTAAACTGGTAACACATTTAGGGATTGAGGTAACATCATAAACTGCCCAAACTTCAAAGGATTAGCCAAGGCAGAAATGAGGCAAAAAGCAACATAGAGAATGTTTTATGTACAAGATTGTTTCAAGTCCTTCTCACCATCAATCAACCCAAGTATTTATAATGATACTGTACATTTGGTACAGTGCCTTGCGTACCAAGAGGACGTCTCAAAGGATATGTTGTAAAGTGTAGTGACTGTATTTTTGCTGGCACGCATGGCAATCGATTTGCACACAGAAATGTCTCACAAACAGCCTGAAGTGAATGACCAATTTTATTGAGGACGCTGGGAGAAACTTACTTCTCTTTTTGAAGAGTGTTATAGAATCCTCAATGTCCACTTGAAAAGGCAGACAGGACCTTGTTTTAACAAGGTCACCTGAAGCACGGCACCTCCAACAATGCAGCACGCCCACAGTTCTGCATTGAGTCTATGCTTTTTAAGTCCTGACATGGGACTTGACCCACAATTTTCTGACTCAGAGGTGAGAGTGCTGCCAACTGGGGCAGGCTCATCCATATCCTATTGAGCTCTAATTGTGATAAGTCTAAGAACTTTGGGATAAACTGGGTTGGTTGAACTTAATTGTTTAACGCTTTAACGTCCTTGGCCTACTCTGAGACTCCCCGGACCTGTGTACAACTAAATATCAGGTTCACTCCCCAGTTGTCCCATCTTACCCCAGATCAGGTCCCTGATCAAGACAGCATTCCTCCACTTCCGCCACATAGCCCGCCTCCAACTGTATCTCAAACTCAACACTACTGAAACCTCATCCACGTTTTCAGCACCTCCCATCTACTTCTTCAATCCCCTCCTCACCAGTCTCCCCAGTCCACCATTCAATATGCCCAACTGATTCAAAACTTCACCACCTGTATCCTCACCTGTACCAAACTCCACACCCCCAGTCCTTGCCAAGCTCAGCTAGCTCTCTGTCACACAAACAGAGCAATTCCAAGATCTTCGTATTCACCTACAAATCACGTCATGCATTGGCACTTCCTTACATGACCTGCTTATATCGCATTCCTATACCCGACCCCCTTACTCAGCTGGTTCTGGTCTTCTGCAAGTACCTCGTCCCCTGTGCTCCACCAGCAGCTGTGCTTTCAGCCACTATGCCTCAACTACCTGGAACTCCCTGCCTCATTTCTTCCACCTTAGCCCTCTTTGCTTGTACTCAATTGTTTAATCATACCTGAAGACGCTTTTCTTTGAGTATGCCTTTGGTCACCTCCCCTTTCTCATCAGTTCAGCTACTGTTAAGTCCTCCAAGATGCTGCCCATGTAAAGGGCACTATATACATGCAAGTTGTTGTTGTAGTTGGAATACAGTTATTGAAGCTAAGTGGTCTAATTGAGTAATCATTGAGCATTAATAGGGCTAGCATAATGACAATAATCCTTGCATTTGATATAGAGACCTTATCACGTTGTTGAGATGTGTCAAAGCTCTTCACAGAATATATTGTGAAGTGAATTGACTGTGTATTTTGTAGACGAAACCTGGTAGCCAATTGTGCACAGTAGTGCCCACAAACAGTTGTGGATTGAGTGACCACATTTTTTTGGAGGGAGTATAACCACTAGAAAGCAGTCCATCAATCGACTAACAACTGAGTTCCTCCTTATTGTTAGGTAAACAGAGATGTGTGGAGTAAGGAAACTTACCTAAAGTTTTGCCCCACCTGGGAATTGAACCCTGGTCTTCTCGCTTCCAAGTGAAGCACTACATTATAGGACTTCAGCATGTAGAGCAAAGATTTTAATCTGGAATAGAGAATAGAGAATTAATAGATAGTCAAATGCTTTAATTAGATTGAAATCCCCTATTACCATAATAGAGCTTGTATACGCTATAATGTAGCCACGGTGATGGTGTGTGGTCCATTTAAGGCCTTGCACAGCTTTACTTTTGAGGCTTAAATTATGTATTTAGAATGCAACACTCTATTGGTAATTATTGCTCACTTACCAACTATTTAGATCATGTTATTTTGATAAACTGTCTGTTAATTCCCACGACAGTCTCACATTCTTCGACTGAAATTCAAATATCATTTGAAAGAGTACCAGACACATTTTCAAAAGGATCCCATGGTATAGAAGTCTGATCTATTATTGGCAATAGTGTTTGAGTGTGTAAAGTCAATGCTTAAATTAGGGTCCTCGGGCTGACCAAAGTTTGAGGTTATCACTTTGTGTAATAACCAAGGCCCTTCCTTATTCTGGCTGTAGAATGTGAATGTATTGTAAAAAGAGACAGAAACATATGACAGCTGAGTTTCTTTTTTTATTTCTACAATTCCCATATTCTAGAAAGGGATTTAGATATTCAATCCATTATTAGGTACTGCACTGTAGTTTGGAACTTGGTCCCTTTAAGAACATATACATAACCACTGTTAAAATCTAAGATCAATTTTACAAGTACAAAGCTCTGAATGAAAACAATTGACTTGTGTCAGGTTACCAGTATATCTGCTGATTCATCACAGATTATCTGAGAGAGAGGGAGAAAGATGGGTTTGCAGAGTGGAGGAGATGCAATCTAAGATGGAGTGTCACTCCTTCCATACAGGCTACATGCAGTCATGCAGTCAGAGTTTGGCAATAGGCAAATCTCTGGCATTTAAAACTGAAGTTTAAATAATTCAAAAGGCCTCTTGTGGACTGTCTCCAGTATAGAATTGTTTTTTTCAGCACATAAGATACTGTGCTTGACAGTTACCATTTGGTTTAGTTTGTGGAAAACTTGTTCTTATAGCTGAAAACATGAGTTGGGGCGCTACCATTCTTCAAACGTGGGTGGGGAAGAGTATTTTGAAACACATTTTGACAGCATTCCTTGAATGACTCATGTAAGTGTACAACACTGTATTGGGGTACAGAAATTGCATTTTGCTGTAAGGACGTGCAGTACAGATTATCCTTGCTGTTACTACCAATTTGATAAGTGTGAACACTTGCCAGAGCCTGGAAATTTTGCTGTCAAACAGTCTGGGGCTCGACCACTTAAACAAAGAGTGCTACATCATCCAGGCCTGCTGCTGCTTCATCCAATCAAATATAAACTCCTGGCTCCAATCCCATTTGCAAATGTAAATTTTATCAAAGGGGCATTTAATATGGCACAATAAACTTTTCTTCTTCGGATGTAATTGTCAGACATTTTTCAGAGCTGACTCCTGCCCACGACTGAGCTTTGATTCCACATTGACTTCTCGAAGCACTGGATCGCACCTCTGTTTTCCATCCCACCACAGAACCCAGACATTGGGGCAGCCGTTTG